GCAGCTCCAAGAAACAAAGTTCCCGTTGTTTTTTTTCTGTAAAGCTTTTCCGGTTGTCACCCTGTCCCAGGCTGCATTAAGGATCTTTGTCCCCTGAATCACGCTGCAATTATCAATTATTTGAAAATGAGAGAGATGAAAAGCAGCAGAAAGACTCAGATCACAACCTCTTGACTTCACGGGACCTCTGCTCCTAAACGATGCTCGGAGGCCGCATAAATCGCGTAGGGGTGGAAGGTTGGGGTAGAGCAGGGGAGAAAGCACAGGAGGCAAACAGCTGTGGGCAGATGTGATGATGGCTGCGTTTGCAGACAGCTTGAGGCTATTACCCCAGCAATAATTCATGTCAAGCCTTGCCTTGGTCTGACAGGAGCTCCTGAAAACCAGGGCAACTTTCTGACCAACGTAGGGCAAAGGAAAGACTTTGGGCTTGCACCCGAACACGCCGCCTGTGCGCCTGTTCAGATCCATCAGCGTAATCTCAGGTTTAGGAGAGAAATGGTAGCAGTACCTGGTGAAAAAAAAAATAAAGAGGAAAGAAAGCACGCAGAAATCCCAGCACACTTATCTTTATCAATAAAGTCATCTGGGAAATCAATAGATAAAGCGGAAAAATCTGAGAGGTAATTTCAGTAAGAGCTCAATCTGTCTGGAAAGGAGTGCTACAGTGCTATAAAAAGCGAGGACGGTCACCTTTGGTGATGTCCTGGAGATATTAATGCTCTTATAAATCGCTCCTCGACAGACAAACAGATAAATAAACAAGACAAGAGGATCTGCTGGCTACCTTGGCAGTTGATTCGTATTAACGTGCTGCATCTTTGCCAGGTTATCAAACTCACCTTTGAAGAATTTGAACTAGAGAGAGGATATGACACTCTGACAGTGGGCGACGGAGGACAAGTCGGAGACCAGAAAACTGTGCTTTACGTGTAAGTAGCCTGTCCCTTGTCCCTGTTGGAAACCCACACTGAAGTTTTGCCCAGCAAGGTGTAGCTGATGCGTTTGAGGGAGTCCTGGGGTTGTTGTCATACTCACAGGGTGGTTTATGGGCTGTTGGTTGTCTTGGGGGTTGACTCCTCTTGGTGGGCTCTTCCCTCATTGTGTTATCTCACGCTTCGGCTCACAGAAGGGCTTTAACCTCTTTGCTTCCCATGAATTGCCCTTGTCGGGGCCCATAGAGGCTGGGAGTGCACTGAGTGAGCAGGATTGAAGTTCAGATACAGGAATAAATGAAAATCAGGCAGAATCTGGGAGCTGGCTGAATCCTTTGAGCTGTCGTTCTTGTGCCGCTAAGGCAGTGGTTGCAGTGGAAGTGGATCCCTGTGTAGCACAGGGGTAATTTGGGATCTTTTACAGCTGCCACTAGAAAACGCCACAGCCAAAAAAGGGTGAGCCTTGGTCATCCTTCAGGGGGCTGTTTGTTCTCATTAACCTGCTGGTGTTAATGCCTTATGTTTGCCCTTCCTCCAGCCAAGTCTCTCTGTTCCTTTTCTGAAGGGTCAGCGAGAAACCCATTTGTGTATCATTGCAATGTAATTACTCTAATTGTGTATCATTCAAATCCTCTTTACTGAAGAAACAGTGATTCTGCTGCAGCTTTTCCGGATCATTACAGCAAAATACTGTGTAGCTTTTATGGAAATCCCGAATTTAAAACCTGTTGCAGACCTCGGGGTGCTGCACATTTGAGTACTTCAGGAAATGTGTCTCGCTTTCCCTGGTACAGCCGTGCTGTGCTGTGAGCAGAGCAGATTGTGAGTGGCTCCGTGCCCATGGAAAGGTTTGCTGGTGCCCTCAGCATCCTGATTTCAGCTCGGCTCTGAGCACCCATGGGTGCTGGGCTCCGTGTCCCAGCACTCAGACATCCCCCATGGTCCTGAGCGCCTCGGGCAGCCCAAATTCGTGCCGTGCTGGGGGATCGCTTGCCTCCTGCAAGGGAAGATGGGAGCCACTGGTGTCTGCCAGAATTTGGAGCATCTCAAGGGCACTGGCAAGGCCATGCACTGGAGCAGAAGCAGGGAAAAGCCGCCGTGACTTTGGGAAGGAAAACTGGAGGTGATGGATGGGGCGTTGGAACCAGGACCACCAGCATCCAGCCTCAGTGTCTTCGTTTGATCGATTCCCTTCTTTTCTATCTAATCAAAAATGTACAGGAGCCAAGAGCTCTCCAAAAGCTACTCTAGCAAAGCTGCTGTAAGCTTTCCAACTGGTAGAGAGTATTTCGTATTGCGTTTTCTAATTCCTCCTCCACGTTTGTTTTTCCACACGATTCAGCCTCCCACTCCATCTTCACTTATCTTGATGACTGCTTGTCTTTCCAAAATCTCTGTTTCTCTGAGGTTCGCTTTCCTATAGGTTTCTTTTCAGAACGCTGGTGACACTTAGGTCAAGAACTCTATAACCAGCAATGTATATAAGTGTAAAATGTGATTATTGCCAAAGGGGTTTGTAATTAAAGTGTCACAGAGCATTTCACAGCCGATTGGCCAAAACATGCAAATTAGTGCCAGGGGACCGTGTGTAATAACTTGCTGAAATGATTTCTCATTCCGCCCCGTTTTGCTTGTCTGAAGCCCATGAAGGTTTTTCTGGATTTGATTTTAATCATTCCACAATTTCTTGCTACTCGGCACCTTGCTAAGGCAAATCTGGAATATCTGAGGTTGCGCAGGGTGGAGTGTGTGGCATCTTGTCCCAGTGCAAGAGAACTTCCCGTTAAATTACTGATGCTAATCCTAACAGGGAAACTCATTTATTTTTCTTTATAATCTGGGAAGATAAGTTGAAAACTATTGAAAAGTGGAAGAGTCTGAAGACAGAAATACTCCATTTGTAATGATGTGGTTGAAGGTCCATGGACGACTCCTCTCAGCGGTTGCTGCCCTCTTAGCTGCTGGATTCGTGTGTCGGGTTGGACATCCATGGGATACGAGGAACAGGGTTTTTTTGAGGAATCAGCATGCAGAAAGTGAACCCTGTCAAAGATGGGAGCTCCAATTTTCTTACTACTCCTCATTTATTCTCGGCTATTGGAGAGGGACTCAGTACTGCAGCCTTTCAGATCAAGGGGTCCATTTCATTCGGCTGGCAAAGCAGCAGCCGCTGTCCTGCACGAGGGCTGAGGAGCCACTCACAGCCCTGTAAAGAGGCATCTCGTGAACACAGCACATTGTTAGACTGAGCTTTCCGACTTGCGGAGAAGATTTTATTCCCTAAAGTAACAAGCGCCCAAATCAATCATTCAGCTTGTTAAAGTGGAATTGGGAAAGCATGCAAAAACCTCTGAAGCGCCTTCTTGTGAAGGTTTTTTCTCCTGGCGTTCCCCATTCCTGCCTGTCTGCGGCTGAAATAACTTGAGCGGCATCAACAACAGCGCTGCTCCTGTGCTCCTCATCAAACTCCCTGCATGCAAAACAGCCATTAAAGCTAGATTACTTCTTAATTTACCAGCACCCTGGGATCGATAACATTTCTGATGCAGGTCAAAGCAATAAGAGAGCAAAGGCGGGGGTGGAACTGGGAGAGCTTTGATGGCCCTGGGAGACGTGGATGTGGTTTCAGGCAAGAAGACGTCCCCAGTTCCATGGCCGAGGCTCGAGCAGGGACTGGTGCTGGGTGTTACTGGTCCCTGGTGCTGTGCGACTGGTGAACCTTGCTGGGATGGGAAGGAGAGTTCTGTGTATGGCATGGCTGGTCCTATAGACAACCTGTAAGGCTGTTGGGAAGGATCTGACACCCAGCAAGTAACTGGTGTTGGAAGGAAGCAGAAGTAGCACAACCCTTGGAGCAGTTATTTGGCTTCACCCTAAATGAGCAGTAGCTGGTGGATCAGCCGTACCGGCTCCAACTGCCCAGGAACCCGGGAATTGCAGCAATTCTGCCTGGAGGTCGTACATCACATTTATTCCCAGCATGGTACCAACACGCTGGGCTCCTTCCCTGACAGGGTTGGTTTGCAATAATTCTGCCCTGAGAGCTCAGGGATCGATTTTATCAAGAAGTCGTTCAGGTGCTGCTGTTGTACTTGAGGTCAGTGCTGGGCAGAAGCCACATCTATCCATATGTATGTGTTTAGATTTAAGCAAACACTAAAAAACCCAAAAAACCCCACCTATCCACTTGCAGCAGTTGCACTTAAGGTAATTTATAAATTCATCATAGATAATACCTTAGCAGAAATAGTCTGACAACGGTGGCACCATTCAAGGGCTCACAGGGCACTCAGCAAATCTGATGCTCGTGCCTTTGCCTTACAGGATTTGGGGTTTTTTGGAGCTCCTTGTGGAAACTTCTCTGTCAGGATAGAAACGTAGCCAAGAACGTGCTGAAAGTTAAGAGGATTCAGCCACCAGTGTGGCTTCTGGGAGTTTTATTTGCTTCTGTTTTGCTTCAGTGAGAAAGGAAATGATTGCTGTTGACGGTGGATAATATATTGTAATAATGGCACTAAATTGCAATTATTATAGTGGTGATGGTAATAGCTTGCAGGCCCTCAACTATGGGGGAAGACTCACTGGGTAGCAAGCAGAAACACGCTGAGAGGCTCATGAGCCTTGAAAATGGTCAGGGTTTTGGACAGTGTCCTGTTTTGGGGTTATTCTTAATTGTGTTGGCATTGCTCTCGCTGTTTTCTGCTCCTGGAGAGGTATAGGTGGCCTTTATTTTGGTGGGAGAACCCGAGACGTACAGGCTGTTTACTTGTTCCGATGTGTTTTTGCAGCTTGACGGGCACCACGGTCCCGGATCTGATCGTCAGCACCCAGCACCAGATGTGGCTCCTCTTCCAGACAGACAGCGTCAGCAACTTGCTGGGATTCAAAGCGACGTACGAAGGTAATCCAAGTGTGCCTCAGAATTTACCTTTTTTGAAAAGCATAAGGAGATAGGATGGGTACAGTTGCATGCGAGAAAGAAGCTTCTCGAAATATATTGAAGCTCTGCAGATTTTTTATATAAAACTGGAGTTTTGCTCCTATAAGAGCAGCTTTCCTGGTTTCTTTTCCATGAAAGCAGACTGGGTGGGTAGTGTTTCATTGCCATTTCTTCTGCTTTGTTGGAAAAGTTGGGGAATTTCAGGTGATGGCAGAAGCAACAGACTGTGTCTGCGGGAGGAGATGAGATCAAGTAATGGGTGGTTCCAGTAGATTGGTGGTGTCAGCTGCTTTAAACTTCGGTCTGGAGTGTTGCAAATGAACTAAAAGTTAATGCTGGGGTTTTTCAGTAGAGACTCATGACGTGCAGTAGGTGAACGATGAATTTGGTTGTGAGCCTCTGTGTTCACTGATGCTGTAGATACTTGCAAAGTTAGAGAAAGGGTGATGGGAAAGTGTTCCTTCTAACTGGTGTAAGTGACTGGTGATTCTGGGTGAAGCTTTTCTTGGATTCCCAGTTTGAGTTGGTTTTAGATTTTCCCAGCAATCTCCGTCTCGTGTGTGTCCGTATCCACTGTGAGCACCTCGGGTCCTTGGCTTCCTCGGCCAGCGCTGCTCTGAGGACGGTGCCCTCCATCCCCACCCCAGAGCACAGACCCACAGAAAGGCTTCCACGTCGATGTCAGCTTCGTTTTGGTACTGTTGTCATCTTGAATCTCTTTTCAGGGCACTCAAATGCCTTTCAGTTTTCTCTATGACTTGCTGATAGCAGGGATGGCTTACTCATTAGGCTCTGATGCTTAAAAGTAGGCACACACATCATTGCCTATACATGGAGGCTGCTCCTGAAACGCTGAGCACCAGCAGCTCCCCCTGCCATCAGCAGTTACAGTTGAGTCTTTCAAGGGCTCTAAATGCACATGAGCATTCATTCAGTTTTGGAGGTGTCACAGAATCACAGAATCGCTCGGTTGGAAAAGCCCTCTGAGATCATCACGTCCAACCGCTCCTGTCTACCCCCTAAACCATATCCTTAAGTACCTCATCTACCCGCTCCTTAAACACATCCAGGGATGGTGACTCCACCACCTCCCTGGGCAGCCTGTTCCCGCTCCTGATGACCCTCTCAGTAAAGAACTTCCTCCTTATCTCTGACCTGAACCTCCCTTGGCACAGCTTGGTGCCGTTTCCCCTTGTTCTTGTCGCTGGGACTTGCCGTGTTTCAGGGAAGGGGCACATCGTGTTCAGAGCAGGACCTGCCCGTGGTCGCGCTGCTGATGGATGCTGCAGTACCAGCCCTTCAGAGCCTGTGGGGACCTGATCTGCCACAAACCCAGGACTCAATGCCAGCATGGCCAAGCAGAGCCTTGGGAGGGGACGAGGTTGTGATGCTGGAGCACAGCACTGCAGGGCCAGGTCAGCAGAAAAGTCATTAGAGAGACACTGATGAATCGGCTGTTTACACTGTAGCACAGCACATGAAGTTGCAAAGCCCATGATGTAGGGACCTGCCCACGCTATTGTTCATCTTCTGTGAACTTTGGATCTATGAGGAGCTCGACTTCTTCCTCCTCTGACCCATGTCGATGTTATTGGGAGCTTGATCTATAGCAGGGCTGAGCTGCTCCTGCTCCCTGTGCCCTCACCAGTCGGTTTGGGGATCGCCGTTATCATTCATGCCGTGGAGTCCTGGTGCAGGGAGCCTCCGATGTCAGATGTGCTTTACCTGCTGTGCTCCTCTATGGCCAAAACCTCCTGCAGAAGAAAAAGACCTGGTTTGGCTCTGCTGTCCCCTGCTGACCCTTCGCCGGGGACTCTCTGTCCTTGGCGAGTGTCAGAAGCAGTGGCTGCTCTCTGCCCATCATTCAAATTTTTTCTCCTTTTCTGGGCGTCTTTACAGGTTTTGTACAGCAGCTTCTCGACCTTGCAAACTGGATTTGTGCATGGACAAATACGCTGCGTGCCCCAGGCCCGTGCTGGCGCTGCCTCGAGGTTAAGCTGACCTCCCATCAGCCACGGCCATGAAACTCCTCAGTTTTTGCAAACGCTTTGAGTTACAAAGCAAGAGACATTTAAGTAAGAGGCAATTAGCACTTGCCAAATACATTACGAAATTATATGCAACCTGCTAACAAGTTTCAGTATCAGTTTTATAGCCACGCTGCTTCTTAATTGCGAGAGGAATATTACAGCTAATGGAGCTATATGAAGTCAAGACCAAAAATCTGCTTACTGGAAGGGCAGTGTATTGCTTATAGAGTATGTTTAAATAGCCATCGATCCCAAAACGTGTGAGTTTTAGTGTACCTTTTAAGTGTAATGCAATCATAAACCTGTTGCTGGTGCTGAAGCAGTTACACCCAGGAGATTTCTTGCTGCTGGGATTCAAGGACCTGTCAGAAAAGAAGCGTGCAATGTGCCATAGGTTTTGAATCACAGAATCCCAGAACGCCAGGGATTGGAAGGGACCTCCAAAGCTCATCCAGTCCAATCCCCCTGCCGGAGCAGGAACACCAGATGAGGTTACACAGGAAGGCGTCCAGGCGGGTTTTGAATGTCTGCAGAGAAGGAGACTCCACAACCTCTCTGGGCAGCCTGGGCCAGGGCTCTGTCACCCTCACTGAGAAGAAGTTTCTTCTCCAATTGAAGTGGAACCTCCTGTGTTCCAGTTTCTGTCCGTTACCCCTTGTCCTATCATTGTTTGTCCCCGAGAAGAGCCTGGCTCCATCCTCGTGACACTCACCCTTTAAATATTTACCAACATATAAACATAAACATTAATGTAGGGTTCCTGCAGAGGGGGAGCCACCCAGATCCTTTTGCTTCACTTGTGAGTAAAGAGAAGGAGTGTTTCCATCAGGAAGGGGGTGCAAAACCCAAGGTGTCTGGATTCAGGTATTTCCAAATCCGTGCCACAAGATTGGATGTGTTTGGAACAAAAGCTCGGCGGGTGTAAATCAGTGGGCAGCATTGATTTTCAATTAGGCTGTGTCAGGCCTTGCCAGCTGAGGATCTGGCTCATTAATGTTCATGAAGATTACTTCTAAATCTCCAATGTCTCAACTGCAGCCGCTTTTATCCTGTTTAAAAACAGACATTCGCTCATAATAGTGAACAATGTTTGCGGACATCCAGTGCTTGTCAGGAGAAATTTGTACTAAGCTCCACTTTGCTGGAAAAGCCTTTCCTTCCTCACACTACAGCGAGCTGATGGATGCTGCAATTTAGTGCTTGACTTGGGAGAGGGCTCAGAGCCTCCTGGGGTGCCAGGGCTGATCCTCTCCCTCTGTCCTTTAATCTCAGGTGACGACTTATGATAAAACCTTAGAGCTGGTGCCTGATGCTGGCACTGAGGTCTTTGAAAGTGCCCGGGTCAATCCCTCGTAATGGTTGGGTGGAAATAATTCCTTCAGGTAGCGTTTTCAAAAGGTCTTGAGAAGTTTAGGGTTCGTTGAAGAGGATTCAGGCTCCCGTAATCTCATCCCCATCAGTGGACTGAAGATGCTTGGAGGATCTCTCACAGGAGAGGTGTGGGGGAACAACGTGTTTCCGTTACTGAGAAGCTTGAGGTCACTACAAGCAATAGTAAACTGACAGTATAAAATCATGGCAGAAACGTTAAAACATGAAAAGATAGAACAAAGCCAGATTTGAATTTAGTCTTACATTTGCAGTAATATTTTCCAATATAAGATAATAATGTAAAATTAAAACCAGACACACACACACAAATGTAGCTTGGGTTTCTGTCGGTATTTTGGGTAGAGCTGACTAATGTCTGTGCCCCGAACCAGCAGCGTGCTGCAGGCAGGGGATGATTAAACAATATTTATTGTTGTGGATGTGCTGACTCAGTGTTTGGCTCCAAGGAGCTTAGCTGTCGAGCTGGAGCTTAGCCCCATGGTGCTAAGAGGCTTAGGAGCTCTGCAGAGCCGGGGCCGGCACATTTCCTCTGCTGACCTTTCTGGTTTTAATCGCATCGGCCCTGCCCAGGGTGTTTGGTGGGATGAGCTCGCTGGGTTTCCACATGGTTTTCCCATGTAGATCAATACTGAGCTCCCTGCATAGACGCCTGCGTGCAAGCTGCACGTGGAGGCGTTCATACACGTGTGTGTGTGTCAAATTGAGAGCAACTTCTTGAGTTGCCTGATACTTGGGGGGAAAAAATACCCCTACTTGGAGCTGGTGCTGCTGCTGCTGCTGTTCAGAGTTTGCTCTCGAAGCTCCCTGGCCTTTGATTTTCAGTAGTGCAATGCTTTCAGACTTCACCGATGAGCCCAGCTAACGCGCAGGTAGTTTGATTGCATTTATATCTGTAATTGTTTTTAGGTTCTGCGTTACCCACCCCTCGCAATGCTGTTGATGATGGAAGCCTGTCAGAAAGCTCAGTGTTTACGTCTGCCCTGCTCTGCTTTCCCATTAAACGTATTGACTCGCACCGTAAAACACCGGCGCTGAAATACTGCTGAGCCAACAGCCAGGAAGGCTTTTAGCTTATGATGTGCTGACCCGAGCTGCTCCCGGGGTCACGTTCCTGGTATTTAAGTCTCGTACAAACCATAGCAGGAGCGGTTTGATGTGATGCCACTGGGTTTTAATGAGCCCGCTCGGTTCAGGGCTGCACTGGCCCTGCAGCGGTGGGTTTAGGTGGGAAGGATGTGGCAAAGACATGCAGAACAGATAGGCAGAAAATCATCTTTGTCCTCTCCTCATAGTCTTTTTTTTTTCACCTTTAGATCCTTTTTTCCTCATTGGAATCAATGAAAAGAACAACAGAAATACCCTGGTCCTGGTTCTTCCAGATACCCTGGTAGCTTTCATTAGTTTAATCAAAGTTAATTCATACATGAAATAGTTTGTGTGGTTAAGTGTGTTCTTGAGGCTCTCCAGGTCACGTTTCTATGATTTCCCTCGGCTTGGTCTCCAGCTGCTCACAAACCCCCATCCTGTGGCTGTTTTTTCCCAGAAACCACAGTTTTGCTATTGCAGCGCTTGCTTGACAGCTCCCAGAAATCCTCATTTTCCTCCAGAGCTGAGTCAGGCAGGAGCAGAGATTCCCCCAGAGCCCCAGGAAAAGCCTGGCCTCGTTTTTGGGGTGCCCGCGGTGTCTGAGTCACTGGGGGAGCGTGGGCTGCATCCCCCGCGCCGAGCAGCGGGACTCACCTTCCCCACCCACCGCCAGCAGCCCAACAGCGCAAACAGCTCGGGAGAAATTCCTGCCGAAACTTCTCGCTGCGAGAACACGCCGGTTTGTCAAAATCTGAGCTGCATGATATAATATTTGATGGAGAAGCTGTGAAAGATTCGCTTCAACTTGTTTCATTCCAATAATGTCAAAACACTTGATTTAGATGTTCTTGTTTAGTTCTGACTTTTATTATTCTAATGTGGAAGGGGTTTTTACTTAAACATTCGTCAGCAGAAATGTTTCAGTCTTGTTGAGGCAACATGTTTTGATATTTCTGAGTCGCTCATCTTTTGGGGGCGGGGGAATTTCTGCCCTGCTTAAATATTTCATGAATTTTACTGCGTATGAAAAGAAATGTAGGAACCAGGGGATTTTCTGAGGACAGAAATTCCGTTTTCTGACCTCTCCGATGTAATAAAATATGCCAGCTTTGCTTGCCAGCTGCTAACCGGGAGATTGCGTGTACAGTGGAAAATCCAGGCACTGATTCTTCATTTCTGTCCCATTCTTCATCCCCTGGTTTCCCTCTGGCTGTGAATTTGTGTGGGTTCATGCAGCGACAGAACAGGGGTGCCCAGGCTCACCAGCAAGGGGGACCCCATTCAAGCGATGCCTCCCGAGCATCTCTGCTACCTTCACCCTTGCTCAGCAGAGGGGCAGAAGCGGGTTGGTTTTCATTTTTTGGCTGCCTTTCTTCTGAGCACGTCCTCATTTCACCAAAGCAATGAATGCACTGGGCACTTGTGGCTCCCTCTGCCTCCTGCAGCAGCTGGAGCTGCGTTGTGGGGCTCCTTGGGGGACGTCCCGTGGCCACTGTCCCTGCAGAGCCACCGATACCTGCGGAGAGGGGGGCTCCTCGGGTTGGTGAGGAAATTTTGGCCTTGCTGAGCCTGATGGCAAACCAAACTGAACCCAGTTTCAAAGCTGAACCTGATGGCAAAGCTGAGCCTGATGCCAAAACTGAGCCTGATCCCAAAACTGAGCCTGATGCCAAAACTGAGCCTGATGGCAAAGCTGAACCTGATTTCAAAGCTGAACCCAATGGCAAAGCTGAACCTGATTTCAAAGCGGAGCCTGGTGCCAAAACTGAGCCTGATGGCAAAGCTGAACCTGATTTCAAAGCTGAACCCAATGGCAAAGCTGAGCCTGATGCCAAAACTGAGCCTGATGGCAAAGCTGAACCTAATTTCAAAGCTGAACCTGGTTTCAAAGCTGAACCCGATGGCAAAGCTGAACCTGATGGCAAAGCTGAACCTGGTGGCAAAGCTGAGCCTGATGCCAAAGCTGAGCCTGATGGCAAAGCTGAGCCTGATTTCAAAGCTGAACCCAATTTCAAAGCTGAACCTGATTTCAAAGTTGAACCCAATGGCAAAGCTGAGCCTGATGGCAAAGCCGAACCTGATTTTAAAGCTGAACCCAATGGCAAAACTCCCGTGGGTTTTCGGAGGCCGGGGCTCCCTCTCTGGGGTCTGGAGGGGGCAGGCTGTGGCTGTGTGTCTGTGTTGGTGCTCCTTGGTGGAAGGAAGGGAGGAGTAGCATGAGCAGTGCTGGAGCTTCTGCTCCTCATGGCCCTGGCAGTGGGCTGGGAGATGCCTTAGCACTTTGTTCATGTTTTAGGAGCTGGCTGCAGTGACGCACGTTAGCATCCACCTCATTCTGCCCAGATATTGGTATGAGGACACTCAACGTCTCCGTCCCCAGGGCACCCAGTGTCGCAGGCATTGGGGACAGCAGGAGCTGGGTGAAAGGCACCACGGGACAGCTGCCCCTGCTGTCATTGCCAGCGCGGTGCTGCGAGGGTTCAGGGTGTGGGAGGGAAAGGAGTAACAAAAATTAATGTTTAAGGGCTGCTGACTTGTAGCAGAGAGCGTTATCGGTTTCCCGTGTCTCTGAGAGGACACAGTGATGCGTGTTTAAAATATTCATGCTCCCCTTTGATCTTGATGCTATTTCTTGGGGTTTAAAGCTGAATTTTCTTTGTGAGATTTGCAGTATTTATCTCCTGCTTTTTCTTTTTTTGGAAGGTGATGTACAGTTCAGTGCCACTTCAGTATCTGAACTGCTGTGGGCTTTGTCCCTTATCTGCAGGTACAGATCTTCAACACTTGGATTTTCAAAGTCTGTAGCATGCTATGTAAATCCTGGCCAACTGTTTCCAGGCAAAAATGAAAAGAAACCGATTGAATAAAAACTTTAATATTAATATTAATTTATGTTAAACTATTTTTGGGATGCTTCATTACCTGGCAGTGACTTTTTAGTGCAAGATGCAAGCAGCAGCAGCAGAAGCTCAGCGCCTTGTTGTGACTTCTGTTCAAAATACACCGGTATCCGAGTTCCCTGAAGTCAGAATAATAAAGCGGCGCTTGTTGTTACTCGAGCCAAATTGGAATATTAGATGGAGTCATGCAGATCTCGGCTGATGTGATTTTCCTCTGTAAAGAAAATGTCATAAAAGAAGTTTCCAATTTGGTGCAAGAAATTGAAAACGGGGAGGAAAGACAGCAAGGCTGATCACAGATGATGGGGATGGAAGCTGGAGGACGTGGCGTGGAGATGAATGTGGAGGGGATGAGCGGGGTTGTGTCGTTAATGGTGATACGGAGCAGGGGCCCTTTGGGGATGGAGTTGTACGGGGCAGGAGATAACAGGAAATGGTGTCACTTGGAGTCCCAGCACACGTGCAGTGAGTGATTACCCATGTGTTTCTGTGCAGAGAGGTGTCTGCGCTCTGCTCGGGGGCCAGGCAGGGAAATGGGGGAGGAATTGGGGGAGACGGCAGACGCAGTGATGGACAAACACCCCCCAGCGCATCCTCGGTGCCAAATGTGACACCTCTTCTGTCTGTCAGGTCCTTGCAGCAGGTGCAGGTTGGGATCTCCTTGTGTATCGCTGTATTTTTCATTTAATTACACATTTAATCACAGTGTAAGGACGAGGAAGCAGTTAGGAGAGGTCATTAGGGCTGTAAGTGGTACAGTTTGTGTTACGGACCCATCTCGGTCACGTTCTGCACCACTGCTGACCCCAGAGTGGGATGGTGCGGAGGAGCCCGGCTCTCCCTCGGGATGCAATGGCTTTGCTGGGATGCTGGGAAGCCGCACCAGTTCAACATCAGAGCCTTCCCCACACAACTTGTGTTTCCTTTCTTTCAGAGATTGACCAGGGGAGCTGCGGCGATCCCGGGATCCCGGCCTACGGCAGGAGGGAAGGATCCACGTTTCGGCACGGGGACAGTCTGAAGTTCGAGTGCCAGCCTGCCTTTGAGCTGAAGGGACAGAAAACCATTACCTGCCAAAAGAGCAGCCAGTGGTCTGCTCAGAAACCAGTGTGTGTGTGTAAGTCAGTGAGGAGACGGCTCTAAAACACCGGCACTGTGTGGTGAGGGGGTCACGTCAACACCGCGCGTGTGCTCTGTGCTTGGTACCAGGGTACAGCGTTAGATTTGGACATGACCAAAACTCACAGAAGTACCTCTGTTTTCCCCGATTGGTGACAATCAGACTCTTTTTCTTTGTCTCATCTCTAGTCAGTTGGATATGTTAAAGCCTGTGCCTTTGAACACATACTGTGGTGTAGGAGAGTCAACCTAATAGATAGGAAAGGAAAACTGAGGAACGGTCAGAGGGCAAAAGTGTGGGGCAAAGGGATAGAGAGAAACCAGAAATGTTCTTTTCAGAAGTGTGTATTCACCATGCAGGTAAATGGGTATGGTTTTGTTATACGCCCCAGTACAAAATGCTCATTTTCGGTGTGGCAGGAGCTGATCCAGAGGGTTCACACGGCCTGGGGGGAGCAAACCTCATGCTTCAGAGCTGTCCTGGGCTCTCCAGGAGCTGTGCAATTGCCCTACACTGGCAATTTATGTGGGAAACCGGTTTGAAGTAAACGCTTCTCTTTTCAGACGCTAATTTAAGCTCTGAACATTTGGGAATGTCTATTTGGGGAAAGGAAACAACTGCTTTGTGAATTTTGCCTTTTCCAGGTGCCATGACTCCCTTCCTACGTGGTTTTCTCTATAAGCAAATCAGTTCAAGATGCTAATGAGGAAAATGACGTTTTCCTGGTTCTCTTTACCATTTCTGTGCCTAGCATCGGGTTTTTGTTTCCCAGAAGCTCAGATGAATTTGACCTTGTGCTGGTTTGGTTGAGGTTCTTGCTGATAGTTTGCAATGAGAGTAAACCCAGAGTATGTGAGTGGATTGGATCACAGTTAGTATAGAAAGGAGATGTTTCTGTAAAGTAGGATTATTTTTGTAGGTAGATACTGACCAGGGGCATCAAATCCAACCCCAGCCAAGCAGCCCATGCAAAGCATAGCACAGACACGAATCTTTTAGTTAAAATAACTCCATTGTCTTCCGTTCTCTGTGGCCCTCCAGCTTTGGGTATTTATGGATCAACAAAGCAACGTGTAGGTAGTGGGAAAAGTATTTCATAGCCCTTTCTACACCTTTACTCCTCTGCTTTTAATCTAGGCAGCATGGTATTAGTGTGCATGCATCAGAAGGGGTTACATGACAAAACCGGCATGAAATCTGTAGTGGGATTAGTAACAACTCCCTAAACATTGGGAGATCATGACATGTATTGGGCATGAGGTGGGGAAATAAGGTGACCTGATGTATGTGCTGCTGCTTGGAACATGCAAACGCGTCAGCGCTGCTGATTCTGGCTGCAAACGCGTGACAAATGCAAGCGGAGATTAACCAGCAGCACGGTGCATCCTGCTGTCCTGAGCGGATGATTTACGAGCAGACAGGATTTATTGTGGAGAGCTCATTTCCTGGGGCTCCGTTGACAAAGCAACATGAACCATTTGAGTGATGCGTCTGCTCATTGCGACGGGTTCCTAATTCGTGACTGTCTGTGCCTTCATGATAACACAGCTGCCATCTTCATCCTCTTGGTTGTCGTCACATCCCGTAACCACCCGGGGTGAGCACAGAGGGCACTTGAGAGACTCTGCGAGGCCTTCTTAGTGCTTGTCTTCTGCAAAGCCCCTCGTGAGCAGGGCGTCCCTGGCCTTGCTGTGTGTGTTGGGGTGGTTTCTGAGGAGCTGAGGTACCTGAACCAATGCTGTTGTAGCACTGGAGCCGGCTGGGGTAGCACGACCATCCATCCGACTGTGCTCACAGCGCGGATGTGGGGGTCTGGGTATGGGTCAGGACTGGATCCTGAACACCCCTTTCTCACAGCGCTCGAGTCAGCTTCGTAGTTCCTGTTGTTCGCTCTGACACTCGCATTTTCAAAGTTACAGCGATATCTGTCAAGTGATATCTGTTATGATATCTCATAACCCGAGCCATTGCTTCCGTGCAGAGCGATGCTCGCTTTTCTTGGAGGGCAGCAAAATGGGCTCAGGAGATGTCGTGCAGATAAATGTTACTGGAGGGAAATCGTCGTGCTCCTTAGATGAAGTGCTCCGATGGTGGGATCTCATAAGGGACATCATATTCAAACTGAAGTCTACACTTACCTGTGGCTGAGGAGATCATTAAGCTTATGAATAGAGATCCAGCCCATAATTGCAGCTGTAGCAGGAGCTGCTGAGTTGTTGGGTTACTGCAGTGAGAACGGTGATGAAAGTCTGCAGAGACGTAGCTGGGGAGCAGGGCGTTTCGGTAGCGCCATAACTTTCAAATACATGGTTGGAATGACTGTTTAAACGTACTCGTGTATAGCAGGGGAAAACTCATTACCTGGTTTTATGTGAGCTATTGCAGGGGAAGGCTCTGCTACAAAACATTCTCTACGACCAGAATTGGTTTCGCCAGGTTTGTTTCCTTGCCAAGGAAAGGAGGAGGCAGCATCCCCTCTGCAGGGGTGGTGCTCCGGCGGCTTCTGCACGTCAGGCTGAGGTCCTTTGCTCTTCCTCCCCAGCAGCTCTGCTTCCCTTCCCTTCTCCTCCTCCTTCTCCTCCTCCTTCTCCTCCTCCTCCTCCTCCTCCTCCTTCTCCTCCTCTTCCTCCTCCTCCTCCTTCTCCTGCTCTTCCTCCTTCTCCTGCAGCCCTGTCCCACAACTCCTGCCGTCTCATTCCTTGAGCTGAGTGGTTGACTTGCACCAAGCAGTGCCGTCTTTCTATGTGGTAGATAATTACGGCACTAAGTGCCAAAACAATACATGCCGTTTGTAACCATCTCACTGGATAAAAGCAACGTTTTTGCCTTGTTTTAACTCTCTGCCAGTTGCTCTGGGAGAGTCATTTCCAAAAACCAGCTTATTTTCTGGTACAAGTTTGGTTCATTGTTCTCAGACTTGCAGACTTGAAGTTTTCTGGACCCGTCGTTTCCTAGCAGTAAATAAAACCTGGTGGAATACAACAGTACGTGTGCACCAAGCAAACCTGGGCTGGAGGTTTCTGCACTGAACTTGGGTATTTGTTTGGTGTCGCTTGACTGCAACTCCACAAGGAGAGTGTGTGTGTGTGTGTGTGTGTGTGTGTGTAAATGGAGGGGTTGTTGTTTGAGTTGGGCTCTCCGAGTACTTCTGGACTCCTCCAGACACTTTTTGTTCCTTGATCTGATGGGCATTATGGGGTCTTGGTCTTGCTTTAGGGTCTTCATTCATTTCCAGTGACATTTTTACTGTATTATTGTAAACTCTCCTTGTATTGCAGACCTGCTTAGAGCAGTAGCCATGCAGAACATTCCCCTACACAGAGCAGAAGGCATTTCCCAAAGCATTTCCAATCGAGATGATGTTAAATCGTGTGTGTTCCTCTGGCTCTGGAGCAGATGTTGCTTTTGTCCCTTTGTGCTACCTTAGAAGCCTCACCCCAGCCCGTTTCTTCTCGCCAATGCTTGGGGGTGCAGGAACACCAGGAAGCTGCAGCGCGGTGCCCACCACCACTGCAGATCCACACTGCAATGGTGCATTGGCTCTTGGACCAGAAGGAGCAGGATTTCACCACCGAAATCCTTCACGTTGCTGCGTGTTGTGTTTGGGGTGGCTCTGGTAGTTGATCAGCACAGTCCCCATCACTCTGTGCAGGTGTATGGCACAAACACCATCATCCTCTTCGGAGGTATTAGGATATTCTGCATTTCTCCAGTCTTTTGAACACCTGCTTTTCCTTAATAGAATAAAATCCCTCTTCTCCTTAGTGGTAATTACTCCTTAGTCCCATATCAGCCTGTTATACCTGCTGAATAATCTTCCCTCCTCTTTGGAAAGATTGCAGGTTTTAGTTTGAGCTGAGTGTTTAACCTCTTCTGTGCCTGGTCCAAACACTCAGGTTTAGTAGCTGGAAGTGCAGAGTGCAGTGGATGTTTTCCCAGCAATGCTCTGAACAGAACCGTGTGATTTCGTATCATTTGACAAGGTTTTCATTTAGCTCTAAATTAAATTGTCGATTGGTCATTATTTCCTTCCTCTCTCTTTCTCTTTTCTTTTCTTCTTTTCCTGCCCGCTATTCACAGCAACCTATGGAGCTTTCTCTACGAAGGGTAATTTGGGGAAAAGTGTGTCTTTTAAGTGATAAAAGCATAGTTTGCCTTTTAAAAAGTAATCGCTTTTTAACAGAGAGAGCAGTTAACGCTCGGAGCGGGCGACTGAAGGCAGCAGTGGTTTTCCAGACATAAACATTCCTAAATTGAGCTCGGATGCTGCTTTCTGCAGCTCCATAGGAAGCAGGGATTGGTTTGCAGTCTGTATTAAGGAGGTGGACAGAGAAGATGATCAGAAGGATCCTTTATTGCCCAATATTTCTGCAGCTGGAAATTCCAGAAGACTTTCTTATAAAGGAATCAATACTTCATTATGAGAGAGTTTTTTAGACCTCTGAACTGCAGCATGGGCTCTCGTTCTCCTGATGAAACCTGGTCCATTGTGCGCTCTCCATTTTATTCCTTTTATTCCTAATTCCCGTTACTTTTCGCGGTGCTGATGGAACAGCCAATGTTAACTCACAAACTGTCTCTCTCCCTTCTGCCGTACACGGCTTTTCTTTTCTAGCTGACATTGGGCTTGTTTATCTGCTTGGAGATGCAGTTGCTTGTAGGGGATTTTGGAAGAGGTGTGGAGATTCTATTAATTTTTATTTCCGGGCTGGTTTGATGTGTGGGGTTTTTTTTAATTGATGCTTTTATGAAGCGTGATGATACGATTTTCTTGATAAAATGGCAGAGAAACACTGATTATCTCTGCTAGATGAATTGGGAACAGAAACCGGTAGCTGACCTTAAATACCAGATGATGTTAACTAAGACCTCTGCAAAGCATCCCGGGTTTGTGCAGCCGAAGATGTGCCCAGAAATGGGCTCTTTCCCCTCTGAGGCCGCTTCGGGGCTGAGCTCGTTCCCCTGAGCGTCCTTCAGGACCCGTTGACGCCTCCTGC